AGGGGCAGTAGAGACGGCTCAGTGGTTAAGACTGCTTGTTACTCTGGCAGAGGACCCAGGCCTGATACCCAGAACCCACATACGTGGTGGCTCACAACCAACTATAACTCCAGTTCCAGGGGCTCTCATGTCCTTTTCTCAGGGCTGAAGGTCTCAGACATACACATACATACACACACAATACATACATATATACACACACATGCATGCATACACACACATACAGACACATATACATGCACAAACATACATACACACATACATATATACACACATATACACATACACAAACATACATACACATACACATATACACACATACATACATATATACATACACAAACATACATACACACATACATACACATATACACACATACATATATACATACACAAACATACATACATACACACATATACACAATACACACATATACATACACACATACATACATATATACATACACACATATATACATACATATTAAATAAATAAGTAAAATGCTGGGTGGCATGATAGGGCATGGACGTGATCCTACATCTTGGGAGGTGAACACAGGAGAATTAGTTCAAGGTTATCTTTAGCTAATGAATGACTTGGAGACGAGCTGGGATTCCATCTCAAAAACACAAAAAGACTCTCGGGAGCCGGGGGTGGAATCCTGCTTGTTCTCTAAGCCTTCCTGTCTCTCCCAGACGAATTATTACTTGGTCATTTGAGAGTTTCCTCCGTAGAGGAGCCTTATCTATCTGTTCAGGACCATAAACCACTTAGGGCCATTTGGAGGGATGGGGACCCAGCCAGCCACACTTTGCCTGACTTCCTGCCTTCCAGGGTGAGGCCCTACATGTGGCACCAGCAACCACGCACCCTGCCTCAGGTCATGTTGTCCCTAAACTGCCTGCCCGGCAGAAACGCGCCACTGCTTTTGTCTGGGCACCCCGCCCTTGCCCACCTGGCACAGGTGTCCTGCTCTTTCACCAAAGCCACAAGGCTCCAGGAAGCCTCCAGTGTGGGTCTTTCCAACGGCTGAGTGCACTGTCCCCTGCATCCCCACCCTCGGCAACCAGGGAGATGGTGAGGGCAGAGCCTTGCTGGGCATCTGAGGTGTAGAGCAGGGTTGATGAGAACACATCCTGTTTTGCTTTGGGCAGTGTTGATACTAGTTTTGGGAAGCAGAGCTTCGTGTGTGTGTGTGTGTGTGTGTGTGTGTGTGTGTGTGTGTGTGTCCTGCCCCCGGGTCCCAGCCCTGTCTGGTCTTCCCTCTCTGGAAGTGTGGGTTGTGTCAAGGATCGTCTTCTTCTTCTTCTTCTTTTTCTTCTTCTTCTTCTTCTTCTTCTTCTTCTTCTTCTTCTTCTTCTTCTTCTTCTTCTTCTTCTTCTTCTTCTTCTTCTTCTTCTTCTTTTCCTCCTCCTCTTCTTCTTCCTCTTCCTCCTCCCCTTTTCCCCCTTCTCCTCCCCCTTCTCCTCCTCCTCTTCTTCTCCTCCTCCTTCTTCTCCTCCTCCTTTTCTTTTTCTAGATTTTTATTGTGTTAGTTTTTTTTAACAAAACAAAACAACAAAACAGGGTCTTTCTACATAGCCCTGCCTGTTCTAGAACTCACCAGGTAGACCAAGCTGGCCTCGAACTCACAGAGATCTCTTGCCTCTGCAAGAACAGCTCTTGACTACTGAGTTACTTCTCCAGCCAACAGAGCCTCACTATGTACCCCGGCTGCCCAGAACTTGGCTGTAGACCAGGCTGGTCTTGAACTCACAAATATCCACCTGCCTCTGCCTCCCAAGTTCCCTGAGTCTTAATATCTTATTTTGAGAGCTTTTCCCAGAGGAGTTAAGACAAGGGGACAGGAAGGCTGCTCAGGTGATGTCTTAGTGTTCCATTGCTGTAAATAGACCCTATGACTATGGCAACTCTTTTTGGTTTTGTTTTGTTTTTCATGGCAGGGTTTCTCTGTGTAACAATCCTAGTTGGAATCAGCTCTTGTAGATGAGGCTGGCCTCAAACTCACAGAGATATGACTATGGCAACTCTTTTTTGTTGTTGTTTGTTTTTGTTTTTTTTTTCGAGACAGGGTTCTCTGTAGCTTTGGAGCCTGTCCTGGAACTGGAACTCTTGTAGACCAGGCTGGCCTTGAACTCACAAAGATCTGCCTGCCTCTGCCTCCCCAGTGCTGGGAATAAAGGCATGTGCCGCCACCACCACCCAGCCTATAACCATGGCAACTCTTTTTTTTTTCCCACTTGCACTGGAAACATTTTTATTGACAATTTAGGACAGTTAACACACAGACAAAGAAAAGACAATGAAGAGTAGACAATGCACCACGGGGCTAATATTCCTCACCCTCATCATCTCCTTCAGCACTGTCGGCTCCAACCTCTTCATAATCCTTCTCCAGGGCAGCCATGTCTTCACGGGCCTCAGAGAACTCCCCCTCCTCCATGCCCTCACCCACATACCAGTGCACAAAGGCACGCTTGGCATACATCAGATCAAACTTGTGATCTAGGCGGGCCCAGGCCTCAGCGATGGCTGTGGTGTTGCTCAGCATGCACACAGCTCTCTGGACCTTGGCCAGGTCTCCACCAGGTACCACAGTGGGAGGCTGGTAATTAATGCCAACCTTGAAGCCAGTGGGGCACCAGTCCACAAACTGGATGGTACGCTTGGTCTTGATGGTGGCAATGGCAGCATTGACATCTTTGGGAACCACGTCACCACGGTACAGCAGGCAGCAAGCCATGTATTTACCGTGGCGAGGGTCACATTTCACCATCTGGTTGGCTGGCTCGAAGCAGGCATTGGTGATCTCTGCTACTGTAAGCTGCTCATGGTAGGCTTTCTCAGCAGAGATGACAGGGGCATATGTGGCCAGAGGGAAGTGGATACGAGGGTAGGGCACCAGGTTGGTCTGGAATTCTGTCAGGTCAACATTCAGGGCTCCATCAAATCTGAGGGAAGCAGTGATGGAGGACACAATCTGGCTAATGAGGCGGTTAAGGTTGGTGTAGGTGGGGCGCCCAATGTCGAGGTTCCTACGACAGATGTCATAGATGGCCTCGTTGTCCACCATGAAGGCACAATCAGAGTGCTCCAGGGTGGTGTGGGTGGTAAGGATGGAGTTGTAGGGCTCAACCACAGCGGTGGAAACCTGGGGGGCTGGGTAGATGGAGAACTCCAGCTTGGACTTCTTTCCGTAATCAACAGAGAGCCTCTCCATCAGCAGGGAGGTGAACCCAGAGCCAGTTCCCCCGCCAAAGCTGTGGAAGACCAAGAAGCCCTGAAGACCTGTGCACTGGTCGGCCAGCTTGCGAATTCTGTCCAAGACAAGGTCAATGATCTCCTTGCCAATGGTGTAGTGACCACGGGCATAGTTATTGGCAGCATCTTCCTTGCCTGTGATGAGCTGCTCAGGGTGGAAGAGCTGGCGGTAGGTACCAGTGCGAACCTCACCAATAACCGTGGGCTCCAGGTCTACGAACACTGCCCGGGGCACGTGCTTGCCAGCGCCTGTCTCACTGAAGAAGGTGTTGAAGGAGTCGTCTCCTCCCCCAATAGTCTTGTCACTTGGCATCTGGCCGTCAGGCTGGATGCCATGTTCCAGGCAGTAGAGTTCCCAGCAGGCATTGCCAATCTGAACACCAGCCTGGCCGACGTGGATGGAGATGCACTCACGCATATTTAGTCCTTGAAGTGGTCCGCGAAAACTGAGTCGGAGAGGGTGATTAGGACCTCCCACTAGCAGACTACCAAGGAGTCCGGGGGAGCAGCAGTGAGTTAACCTTGGCAACCCTTATAAAGAAAAACATTTAATTGGGGCTGATTCACACTTCAGAGGTCTAGTCCGTTGTCATCAGGGTGGGACATGGTGGCTTGCAGGCAGACACGGTGCTGGAGAGGAAACTGTGAGTTCTATGTCTGGATCAGCAGGCAGGAGGAAGAGAGAGTGAGACACTGGGCCTGGCTTGAGCTTCTGAAACCTCAAAGCCCACCCGCTAGTGACACACTTCCTCCAACAAGGCCACACCTCCAATAATGCCACTCCCTATGCGTCAACAGGAGCCATTTTCTTTATGTATTGTAATACTGGCACTCAGGACGTCAATGCAGGGAGATCATGAGTTCCAGGCCGGCCTGGGTAATATAGTGAGACCCTGCCTCTAAGGAAGTGGGCATGGTGGGGTACACGCCTGGAACCCCAGCACTTCAAGAGGCAGGTGCAGGAGAATCAAAGCGAGCTCAAGGCTCCGGCTGCACAAAGAGACCTTGACTCTTGCAGCTCAGGAAATGATTCGGTAGGTGCCTCGCAAGCACCTGAGTCTGACGCCCAGCACCTGAGTCTGATGCCGGGCACCTGTGTAAAAACCCAGGCACAGCAGCCTGTGTTTGTGACCCCACTGCTGGAGAGACAGGGAGGGACCCCTGGGGCTTAGTGGCCAGGTAGCTGAAAGGGCCTGGAGAACTCCAGGTTCACCGACAGATCCTGTCTCAAAAGAACAAGGCGGGGGCTGGAGAGTTGGCTCAGCCATTGCTGTTCTTTGTTTGAGACAGGGTTTCTCTGTGTATCTTTAGATCTTCGGCTGTCCTGAAACTCATTCTGTAGATCAGGCTGGCCTCGAACTCACAGAGATCCACCTGCCTCTGCCTCCCATGTGCTGAGATTAAGAGTGTGCACCACTACGCCCGGCAAGCACCCGCTGTTCTTGCAGAGGACTCAAGTTCAGTCCCCCGCACTCACACAGTGGCTAACAACTATAGCGAGACTCCAGTTCCAGGGACTCTGATGCACTCTTCTGGCTTCCTTGGGCACCAGGCACGCATGTGGTGTATACATGTACATTCAGACAAAACACTCATACATATATAAAAAAATAAGGTGGAGAGAGAGAGAGAGCGCGCAAGCTGTGGGTTCCATGTGCACACATAGACACGCACACGTGTGTGCATGCACACACAAAGAGAAGAATGTCTGGGGTGGGGAAGATGTGAGACAAACACAAAAGTATTAGGGAAATTTATTTCTGATAAGAACCGGCTAGTCCAAGCTTTGGATTGAAAGCGTTTCCCCCTAGAGTTCCAGAAGGTTCCAAGCAGGCCCCAGTCCAGGTTCAGCCGCTTGGCCCCTGGAGAAAGCCCTTGGAATCTCTCAGGAACTCTGCTCGGCCCGAAGGCTGTCCATGTGGTGGGTGTGATATTGTCTCATGCGAACTTGCTCCTCCGGGCTGGATACAGGAGTGTTCCAGCAGCTTCGGGAGATCGGGCAAGAGAAAGTGAGAGAGAAGGGTCAATGAACGGCCTTAATTCTGCTTCCACTTTGATGTGGGTTCCAGGGAGTTTAAAAGAACACCAGAGCTCTCTTCCATGAAACCGGCCCTGCTAACCCAGTTTCTAGCTCCCTTGTGCAGAGTTTAGATAAGACCCCCCTAAAGTTGTTGTTGTTAGTTAGGGGCGGGGCTATGTGTGTGTGTCAAAGAGCACACGTGACCCAGTGAGCCTGCTCAGTGGGTGAAGGTCCTTGCTACCAAGCCTGAGAGCTTGATCCCTGGGACCCACATGGTTGAAGGAGAGAAATGACTCCAAGAAGTGGTCCCCTGACCTCCACATGTGTGTGATGGTGCACACATGCTACACACGAAATAAATAAATCAAGTGTAGCATAAAAAACAACTTTACAATCGGCTCCTGCCTCTCTGTCATTTTGTGCATTTTTACATTTGTTTATTTTGTTTTTGTAGTCCTGGCTGGTCTGGAACTTGCTATAGACCAGGCTGGCCTTGGATCCAGAGAGATCTACCTGACTCTGTCTCCCAAGTGCTGGGATTAGCAGCCTGTGACACCATATTAGGCTCTCTCTGTCCCTTTGAAAGTAATTGTACTGGCAGGAAAGAAGATATTCTTTTTCTTTCTTTTTTCTTTTTTTTTTTTTTTTTTAAAGACAGGGTCTCATTAGCCCAGGCTGGCCCTCAGCTCCCAACTGAGGATGGCCTTGAACTCCTGGTCCTCTTGCCTCCACCTCCTAGGTGCTGGAATTACAGATGTGTACCACCATGCAGTCTGTTCTCAGCAGTGCTGGGGAAACCTTTGTCACGCGCGGGCAAGCACTCTAGCAGCTGAGCCGCACCCCTAGCCTGGGAATAAACACTTAGGTCCCTTCCTTTGGCTACCAGACCATAAAACAAGGGGTCCCAAGAAATTCCGCAGGAATCCCATGCTGGGAAGCAGAGGGCTGACGCTGGTGCCAGCCAGGGGGAGACTGGCAGAAGACAATGGCGCTGGGCTGTGATGGCGGGGACCACACCGTCACCAGGATTGCTCAGCTATCTTGTCCGGATCCCAAAGATCGACTTAGCGAGACATTGGGTCTCTTTGTTACTCTTTCCCACGTAGGGACATTGAATACATACATCTCCTTTCTCTGCCTTAGACTACTTTTGATTTATTTTATTCTATCACTTTGAAGTGTGTGTGTGTGTGTGTGGTGTGTGTGTGTGTGTGGTGTGTGTGGTGTGTGTGGTGTGTGTGTGGTGTGTGGTGTGTGTGTGTGGTGTGTGTGTGTGTGTGGTGTGGTGTGTGTGTGTGGTGTGGTGTGTGTGTGTGCGCGCGCGCGCGCGCCAGAGGACCGGATCCCTCTGGAGCTGGAGTTGCAGGTGTTTGTGAGCCGTAGGCCTGGATGCTGGGAACTGAACTCAGGTTCTCTAAGCATAGTCCACACTCCTAACCACTGAGCCATCTTTCCCGCCCTCCTTCTCATCATGATTTAATTGTTCACCCAGGATGGCTGACGGAACCCAGCTTGCTAGGGCTGCCAGCCCCTAGGCTTTGGCCCTAAGAAGTCCAGTAACACCTTCTTGGTGCCTGGCCCCACCCTACATCCAGGGGTCCTCTGCACCAGTGGTTCTCACTTCCTTCCTAACGCTGTGACCCTTTAATACATACAGTTCCTCGTGTTGTAGCGACCCCCCGACCATAAAATTATTTTTGTTATTCCTTCATAACTGTAATTTTGCCACTGTTATGAACCACAATGAAAGCATCTGCTATTCAGGATATCTAACATGTGACCCTTGTTAAAGGGTCGTTCATCGGCAAAGGGGTCATGACCCACAGGTTGAGAACCCCTGCTCTAAAATGTATCAGTAGCTCTCTCTTGATTATGCTCCACTGTTGGTTCCCGTGGGCCTGTGAGACAGAGTTCGGATCCTCTGCAGGACACCCCGATTCCCTGCTCATACCTGCTGGCAAACTGTCTCCAGGAGTAATGGCCTGGGCCCACACACCTCCCGGAAACCTCTGCTTCTCCTATACAGAGATGCCTCTCCAGGTCCCTCCGGGCGTTGAATGTCTTTTCTTCTGGGAACTTTTGTGCCAGCCCCCAGTACTTCAGCTCTCTGGCTGAGATGTCAAAGCCAAGGATTTTAGTGGGCTGAGCCTGACCGCAATTCACCTTTCCACCTGCAGGGCTTCACTTTTGGAGTGTTTTCTGACTACTCGCTTGCAACTCCGAAAACTGCCGCCAGGGGGCAAGCGGCGACCGCGGAGAAAACCAGGCCTTTGATGGCGACAAGGGAGAAGAGCTATAGGTAAATTCTCCTTCATCTTCAGGGGGAAGAACTTCATCAGACAACAGCAAGAAGAAACCAAGGCTACTGCTGGGAGGCGGGACAGCACCAACCCTGTCCACTCACCTAGCGGATATGAGCAGGGCGAGGAAGACCGCCAGCAAGATTGAAGAGAAGACGATGATGATCACAGTACTCTTGCTTCGGGACCCTGGGGCTCCTGGGAATGTCTGGGCTTCACAGGTAAGCAGTGAAAAAGTTATTTACCCCCACAAAAGAGTCATTTAGTCAGCTTCCAGACCCACTCTCCCGTGTCCACTGGGGAGGTGTGAGAATCCCATAGACTAGAGGAGGGGGTACGGGCAGAGAACTGGATAGGATAGCGCTGATTTGGGGAGACCTACTTTCCCCAGGTCCCTGATGTTCCCGGTCTATTAGCACCCCGTACACATTTTGAGCCACTCTTAGGTCCGCATACCTTGCTGCAGGTAGATTTCCTCAGACCACTCCGTCTCAGCCACAGGACCCTTGGCGTTCATGGCCAGGAACTTCACTCTGAACAGAAGACCAGCGTTGGTGGTGGGGACCCACCACCCCACGGTTCTGAAACCCTCAGATCTTAATGCCAGGGATCCCAGCCCAAGGCAGGAGCCGGGTCCTGGGACTAAAGAGCACAGCCCCAGAACCCCACAGAAGCTGTGACCTATTTGAGTTGTGTGACATTGGCGGTGGCCCTCACTGTGTGTGTGTATTAGATCTCTCCGTACCAAATATGAGTAAATCAAGCATCTAGTGAGAGGAGAAAGGGACCAAGGCTAGTCCCCACCTAGGAATGCCTGGTCTGGATCAGGGTCGATCCATACGCTCTGTCAGGACCTCCCACGGCGTGAGCCGGTGAGTTAGAAGGATGCTACTTAAAGATGTGACCATAGTAAGGGGACACATTGCACCCATGTCAGGTAGTTCAACTGCCTGTAACTCTCATTCCAGGGGATCAGACATGTGTGGCCTCTGAGGGAACCCACACCCGCGTGGACAAAACCACACGCACATAATTAAAAACAAAATATTTTTTTTCTTTTAAGAAAGAAAGAAGGCTCAGTGTTTAAGAGCACTTGTTGCAAAGGATCCAGGTTCAATTCCCAGCATCCACATGGAGGCTCAACATCTCCTTGGGCACCAGGCACATACGTGGTACAAGGACATACATGTAGACAAAACAGCCATACACAGAAAATAATAAAAAATAACTCTAAAAGGGAACTATGTAAGGACCTGCCTGCAATCCCCCAGTGAGAGGGTGGGGTGTGCTAAAGAACCCGTTCAGCTTGCTCCATGCCCAGGTTCCACCCCCAGCACCACTAACATAAATAAGAAGGGAAGGAGGGAGGGAGGGAGGGAGGGAGGGAGGGAGGGAGGGAGGGAGGGAGGGAGGGAGAAAGGGAAAATACTGGGGAACTCAGGCACTCTATTTGACTTCAATGAACCTTCTAGTAGCTGCCCTGGGCTCCTGTTTGTCCCAAGCAAGGCCCCTTCCCCATCTTTGTTGCTCACCTGTAGGGGCCAGCACCTGGCAGAGGAGAGTTACAGCCCAGGGACTTCAAGGAACACTTGGTATCATTGCCAACGCGGAGGATTCGGAGCTGGTTGCCAGACTGGCCACCCTGGTAGTGTACCCGGCTGGTCCTCAGTGTGAGGTAGTAGCCGTTGTGGTCAAAGCTGGCAGGAGCATGTATGTCCTCTACCTTCTGTGGGGCAGCAAAGTACTGGGTGGCTGAGGGAGGCACTGAGGGTCAGTCAAAGGGAATCGCGTGGGCAGGACCGCAAGGTCCATGCTAGCAGGCTCTGACAGCCTTTCCCAGACACAACCCCCCCAAGCACCTCCCTCCCAGCTCCCCTGCCTACTAAGCCTCTCAGACCCCAGCTCGGTTTGCCCATTTCACAGCGAGAAAGCAAACACGTACCGTTGCTATGAGCCACCACCAGCCAGATGGGGTCTGGGTCAGAAAGGCTGACATTCTCAAACTGGCCCAGGGGCTGCTCCAGCGTGAAGGTGGACTGTGTGAGCTTTCCCAACAGGGTGGCGCTGGAGAGCTGGGGGGCATAGCCAATGCTCTCTGGGCAGAGTGGGGAAAGAATAAATCAGTCCAGCTTCAACCACGGCAGGATGTGTCCATCACCAAAGCCACATTCCAAAGGGAATTAAGGAACCATTTTTTATATATAATTTATTTGACTTTATTTTATTTGCGTTGGTATGAAGGTGTCAGATCCCCTGAAGCCGGAGTTACAGACAGTTGTGAGCTGCCATGTGGGTGCTGGGAATTGAACCTGGGTCCCCTGGAAGAGCAGCCAGTGCTCTTAACCTCTGAGCCATCTCTCCAGCCTGTTAAGGAACAATTTCTTCCACCACACTTTAATTGATTGATTAATTAATTGGTTAATTAGTTCTCTGTCTCTCTCACTCTGTGTGTGTGCATTGTGTGTGTGTGTGTGTGTGTGTGTGTGTGTGTGTGTACACAAACCCATGTGTGCCTCAGGTCAAGGACAATTTGGGGGAGTTGGTTCTCCACCATGTGGGTCCTGAGGATCAAATGCGAATTATCAGGCCTAACAAATGTCTTTACCAGCTGAGCCATTTTACCCGATCAAAAATTAAGGAATCTTTATGGCAGGTGCCCTTGGGAGGCTGTGGAGCACCTGGACCCTCCCTCTCTTGGCAGCCTACTAGAAGGTAGGTAGGTAGGTAGGTAGGTAGGTAGGTAGGTAGGTAGGTAGGTGCTGTGTCACAGAGGGAGGCTCAGGAGACTCAGATTCGGGGCATCCAAAACCCTAGGCTGGGCTTGTCCAGAGACCCTGTGTGTCCCTCCTACTCAAGCCTTGTGGTCCAGGCTCATTTGTTTGATGAAAATGAACAAGAACTAGAGAGATTTGATTCCATACGTAGTAAAGCGTCTACCTCCCAAACATGAGTTTAGATTACCAGAATCCATGTCAAAAGCGAGGCATGGTGAGAGGCCCTGTATGGGAGGCAGGGACCAGCTGATACCTCGAACTGATGGAAAGAGTGACCTGGCCCACATGGCAAAGTTCTGGCCTATGAGAGACCCTGTCTCAAAGAGAAGGTGGAAAGACCCTGAATACCAGCATCCATGGTCTTCTGCTGACCTGTACACACTCCATAGAGCCACATACCTGTAACCTTATGTGCATATTGCACAGAGAGAGACAGAGAAGATCCTCATAGAAAGGGCAGAGGGGGAGGCACACAAATGTCCCCTGGACTGAGACCCTGACTCTGGACACAGACTACCTAGTGGGATCTGAGGCCAGTTTATCCAAAGACATTACTTCAGACCACCTAGTGGGACCTGAGGCTAGCTCATCCAAAGACATTACTTCAGACCACCTAGTAGGACCTGGGGCTAGCTCATCCAAAGACATTACTTCAGACCACCTAGTGGGATCTGAGGCCAGTTTATCCAAAGACATTACTTCAGACCACCTAGTGGGACCTGGGGCTAGCTCATCCAAAGACATTACTTCAGACCACCTAGTGGGACCTGAGGCTAGCTCACCCAAAGACATTACTTCAGACCACCTAGTGGGACCTGAGGCTAGCTCATCCAAAGACATTACTTCAGACCACCTAGTGGGACCTGAGGCTAGCTCATCCAAAGACATTACTTGCTCCTTTCTCAGTTCTTTGCCACCCCCATCATCTTCCATTCTCACCGTGGCCACATGACCAACATCATCATGGTCACATGACCAACGTCTATCCTTTCAATCCTCATCCCCTAAGTCCCCTTCTCAGATCCATCTAAACAGTTTCGTATGCTACAGGGACCCCTGGGGAGCACCATGGATTTGTCCAGCTCTGCTGCTCATGGGAGAAGCCCGGCCCTCCCCTCAGTCCTCCTTGATCCTCCCCTGCCCACAACCAAAGCCATAGCAGGATTCCAGCTCCAAGCCCCTAACACTGGGACAATAAAAAAGATGAAGTGGACCTTTGTGCAAGTCTCGTATCAATTCAGGGCTGCGGAGATGGCTCAGTGGGAAAGAGGTTGCCTTGCAAGCTTGGGGACCTGAGTTCTAATCCCCAGCATACTCGTAAAAAGCCGAGTGCGGTGGCACACATCTGGAAGGCCAGCTGTGGTGGACACAGACAGGTCCTTGGACACTGGCACCTGAAGTGATCCTCTGAGCTCCACACTGATTGTGCACGGACACAGCCTTGTACACAATGTGTGTTTGATTGGAGACAGGATTTCTCTGTGTAGTCCTCTCTGTCCTAGAACTGAGATCCACCCAACCCGATAAGCTGAGTTCTGTGCCCAGGATCTATCAGCTGGATCCTGAAAGTTGCCCTCTGACCTCCACACTTGCATCTTTACATGCATTCCCCAATCCCCATATACACACAGCTACATAGACATGCACACACAGAGAGACACACACACAGACTAAACAAACAAATAATAACAAAGTCCCCATTGTACCTTGGAGGACTAGGGTATCCTGTATACAGAAGGTAGGTAATGTTTGCTTCATTTGAGGGAAGGGAAATAGAGCTATGGAGAGGAGGGGTTACTTAGGAGCCATTGGTAAAAGTGTGGGCATGAGAATCCAAAGGAGGAGAGAAGCAGAATTCTTGCTCTTCAGTCTGGCGGGCAAGAGACAGGTGGCCATCTGTGATTGTCTGAGGTGGGCTGGATGTCTTGACACACCCAGGAGCCCAGTCCACAACCAAGGGAAGGGGTGCTGGGGTGCTGTAGGTATTCCATCCTACAGAGGGTTGAGTACCCCGCACTTCCCAGCCTCACTCACCCAGACCTGCCCCACACTGGACCAGCAGCAACAGCGGCATCAGCAGCAGAGACCGTCTCTCTTGGAGCCCCATGGCTGGGTTGCTGTCCCTCCTTCCAGGTCCGCCTGCAGTATGGCCCCAGCTGCTCTGTCTGGGCTGGGCTGCTCTGGCTTGGAGGTGCCCCCTCCTCCCGTACAACTGGTTGGACCAGCTCAGGGGCTGAGTCTGTAGGTTCTGGGGGATTCAGCCTCACTAGGCATGGGTCTGAAGAAAACAGAACAATGAAGGAGACAAGCCAGGACATCTGCACCCCACTCCAAGAGGGCCTGCGCTGGGAGGGGCCAGGGATGGAGCAGGCAGTTCTGGGCAAGGGCTGTGCCCATAAAAACCCTGCTTACCTGTCCTGGGTCCAGGCCACTAGGAAGGGAGGGAGTCCCCTTATCTTCTAGACAAAGGACATAGAAGATAGGTGTCCCTTCAAGATAGTCTCAAGATCACCTAAGCTGACGGACAAAACCTTGAGGTGGTCCAGCAAATGTTGACCCTAGGACTCTCTCTCTCTCTCTCTCTCTCTCTCTCTCTCTCTCTCTCTCTCTCTCTCTCTCTCCCTGTCCCCCCTTCCCTTCCTCTCTTCCATCACGTTCAGGTAGTTTCTATGCTGGTATCAAACTCAGTACATAGCCAAGGATGACCTGAACTCCTGATCTTCCTTCGTGAATGCTGAGATTACAGGAGAGTGCAGGCCACCACAGCTAGCAAGCCACAGTGTGTTCCCACGTGGATAATGTTTTTCTATCTCTATGTGTGTGTGAGATATGTATAAGAAAGATGAGAGAGAGAGAGAGAGAGAGAGAGAGAGAGAGAGAGAGAGAGAGAGGCTGAGATGTAGCTCAATGAAAGAATTCTTTCCTGGCATGTATATGACTCTGGGTTCCTTCCCCAGTATCACAAATATATGTATGTATGTGTGTGTGTATACATACATGCATACATACATACACACATACATATTCTCTCTCTCTCTCTCTCTCTCTCTCTCTCTCAAAAGGATGTTGAAAGCAGTCATCAGAACGAGGATCCAGATATAGTTAGAGCCTCACACCTATAATCCCAGCACTCAGGGAGGAGGATCAGGAGTTCAAGGTCCTCCTCAGCTACACAGCCAGCCTGAGCTACAGCACACCCCACCTGAAAAACAACAAAACAGGATAGAAAGGGCGTCCTTGCAAAAGCACATCCTTGCTCATCCTCTCTCAGGGCCCCAGAACTGGGCAGGGTCAGCCTCACACTTAATCACATCATTCAGATGACAGGAAGGCTCTCACGGGGAGGGCACCTCCTGCACCCTCATGGCGGGTCAGCCCTGCTCTCGGCACCCTGACAGGCTGCTGCTCGCTCCCCTTCGTGTCTAATTCAGACAAATGACTCATGTATTCCTCCTCGTGTTCCCCTCTCCATTCCAGGCATCCTCTCTAGGCAGCGCAGAGACCCTTGTGTCAGCTCCTGTGGGGCAGAACAAAGGAGCCCAGAACTGAAAACTTAAAGTAATAAACATTTCCTTTTTCTTTACTTTTTAAAAAGTCCACAGTATTTTTTCTCCTCTTTTCTTTTTTTAAGACTTATTTATCCATGTATTTTATGAATCTGAGCACTCTGTCTTCACGCACACCAAAAGGAGGAATCTGATCCCATTACAGATGGTTGTGAGCCACCATGTGGTTGCTGGGAATTGAACTCAGAACTTCTGGAAGAGCAGCCAGTGCTCTTAACCCCTGAGTCATCTCTCCAGCCCCACTTCTTTTTTTCTGATTTGTGCATCTATTAGTTATCTACCTTTGTATATGTGTATGCATAGTGTGTGTGCGTGTGAGCACACACACGTGAGTGCCATGGCTCCTGTGTGGAGGTCGGAGGACGACTTTCCAGTTCCACCTTCTTGAGGCAGGATCTTTCTTGTGGCTGTGGCTGTGTTGTGTCGTACCCCAGGCTAGCTGGCCCGTGAATGTCTGGCTGATTCTCCTGTTTCCACCACCCATTTCAGAATAGAAATTCTGGCATTACAGAAGTGTACCCCTGTATCCGGCCTTTTAAAAAATTTTTTACGTGTGTGTGTGTGTACATGCACATGTACCTGCTTATACAGAGGTCCGAGGGCAACACTAAGGAGCCAGTTCTCTCCTCCCCCAGGCACGATGGGGCTGCTCAGTTCATGGCAGTGGAATATGTAGTAAGGATGTTCACACCGTGGTGAACCAGGAAACAGAGGGAGCGCAGGGTAACCTTCAGAGATCAACCCCTAGTGACCTGTTTCTGTGACTAGACCCCACCACCTCTCCACTACATTCTGAAACAGTGCCACCAGCTGGGGACCAAGTACTCAAGGAGTGAGCCTCTGGGGACATTTCAGATTTAACAGAACCTGGCAGCTGCCTCTTTTTCTGTTACACTGAGGGCAGGGGTTAACCTGTTCAGCTCCACCTGGTTTGTGCTGGGTTTATGATATGGCAAATAGATTTGTCCAAAAACTGATGATTTGGAAACTTCTTGGTGTGTCTGGCTGTGGCCTGGGATGGCCATTTTATTTTTACGGCATCAAGGGGATGGCCATAATGGCTTGGCTTCCTCCTTTCAGGGTGCTAGGTGTGTCCAGCACCAGTGAGAACTGGCGTGAAGGAGTGGGTCCCGGAGCCCCAGAGGGACCAAGGGGTGCCATACCAAGTCGCAAGGAATACTCTACGCCTTTTGACTTTTCTTGCTGTGTACCTTTGGGGGTGACTCATAAGGCAGGTGGGGCTCCCCACTTGCTACCTCCTCATACAAGTCAAATAGAGTTCCAAAGACTCACCCAACTCCAAGTCACCAAAGAAAGACTTAGCTCCATAGCAACCGTCACACCCACAGTCTGAGGAGGTACACGGGGAAACCGGGCCTCCAAGAGTTGATCAGGCTTGCCTTATGCCTTCTGAAGAGAGAGGGCTCAGGGCTTTGTTTGGGCCCAAAGAGAAAGCAGAGAGTACTTGGTGCCCCCCACCCAAGCCCTTATGCAATGGGAAATGCTCCAGAACTCCCTAACCCCACCCTGGGCTGGTCTTTCTAATACAAGGTGATTCAGCCCCTACCAGTTCTGCTGTGTGTCTCTTAGGACAGACAGCTCGCCACACTCAAAGTCCTGTGCTGTGCCCACCACCGTAAACTAGGAAGAGCTTCCTCATCAGGCTCAGCAGTGAGGCCCCTGCCTAGAATCCCCCAGTGAGGGGCTGGGGTGTGGCTCAGTGGTAGAGCACCTGCTTAGAATCCCCCAGTGAGGGGCTGGGGTGTGACTCAATGGTAGAGCCCCTGCCTAGAATCCCCCAGGGAGGGGCTGGGAGGTTGCTCAGTGATACAGTGCTTACCTAACATGTGCAAGGCTCTGGATTCCATCTCCAGTGTGGCAAATGTAATCAAAAGCTATTAAAAAAAAAAAAAGCATCAAAACCAACCACAAATGTACCAGGCATGGTGGCACAAGTCTGCGGTCTCCTCCAGGCTGAGACTGTCTTACAGTGCACAGAAAGCCCCACACCAGGAAGAGGGACTGGGGGGATGGCTCAGCAGTAAAGAGCCCTTGTTGCTCTTCCAGAGGACCCAGGTTCAGTTCCCAGCACCCATGTGATGTTTCACAGATGTCTGTAAGTCCAGCGGATCCAACGCTCTCTCCTGACTGCAGGCACCAGGCGTGCTGTGACACACGGACACACATGCAAGTAAAACACTCATGCAAACGAAAGAAACAAATCTTTTAAAATATTAAGTTCTTTCCTTAAAACTACAAAGAAAAGCACAGTTCTTTTTTTGTTGTTGCTTTTTTAAAATTGATTTTTATTGAGCTCTACATTTTTCTCTGCTCCCCTCCCTGCCTCTCCCCTCTCCTTCAACCCTCTCCCAAGGTCCACATGCTCCCAATTTACTCAGGAGATCTTGTCTTTTTATATTTCCCTTGTAGATTAGATCTATGTATGTCTCTCTTAGTGTCCACATTGTTGTCTGGGTTCTCTGGGATTATAATTTGTAGGCTGGTTTTCTTTACTTTATATTTAAGAACCACCTATGAGTGAGTACATACTGATATTTGTCTTTCTGGGTCTGGTTATCTCACTCAACATGATGTTTTCTAGATCCACCCATTTTCCTGCAAAATTCAAGATGTCATTTTTTTTTCTGCTGACTTCATCCCTTCACTTCCTCCACAGAAACTTGCTGCCTCCTGCCCTGGGCTGGTAAGAGAACCCCTTCCCTGGGAGACATAGGGGAAACCCTTCCTCCTAAGTCCCCAAGGACGAAACACAAAGCACAGCCCACCAAAATTTGCCCTGGGAAACCGATGAGCTTGTCCAGTTTTACTTAAAGAACATGGGTGAGTAGTTCCCCGGGGACCATAGGTAACCCCAAAGCAGCCGCACTGGGGAGTCTGCCCCAGCATGGACAATCCTGGCCCTGGGTCCCGGATGGAGTTCTCTGCATTGCCTTCCTCAGCACATACACCTTAGCTCCTCCCCTCAGCACACAAACCGTGTGCAGTCAAGGGCGGAACTGCTCACAAATGGCTGGGAGGCGAGGCTGGATTCGCAGGTGGGGGGTCCCATGTCCCTCCTCACCCCCTTCTGTGTGAAGGAAGGCCAACAGTCTACAGGCTGGAAAGGAGGGACAGTTGATTAGAAGAGAGACGTTGTTTTGCTACAAAGACTTAGGGTAGACATTCTCAGCAGGAAAAACAAAACAAAAAGGGTGATGTGTAGGCTTTTAATCCCAGCACTCAGGGGGCAGAGGCAGGCAGATCTCTGAGTTCAAAGTCAGTCTGCTCTACAGAGTGAGTTCCAGGACAGCAGGGCTACACAGGGAAACTCTGTCTCAAAAAACAAAGAAACACTAAAATGGTGCTGTAAGACTTTAAGACAATCCTGAAGCCATTTTTGACAATTCTGAATCCTCTCAGCCTCCGTGCCATAGTGCTTCCCCTCCTCCCCTGGGAACCAAGGACCTAACAGCTACACTCGCACGTACTCAGTTCCTGAACAATTACCCATATACGTATGCTTTGGTTCGGTCCCCTGGGAAACGGGGTCAAAATGACCTCTTACCTCATCTGATCTGGCAACAGCTCTCCAGTCAATTATTGGTAATAGCCCTTTCAAATAAGCCAATCAGAATAGTCAAAGAACAACCCCCCTTGCTTCTGTGGCCCCTTTAAAAGTAGACTGTACCCGCTATTCGAGGTCCCTCAGCTTCCCGAATGCTGGGGGAGCCTGTCATGACAGAATTAACAAGATTCTCATGCTTTTGCATCGACTGTAGTGTGTGTGATGGTCTCTGGGGGTGACTCCTTCTCGGTGTTTGGACGCTAGAGTCCAACAGTGCCAGGTATGATGGCTCATACCTACAATCTCAGGGTCTGAGGCAGGAGAATTGACTCCATTTCAAGATCAGCTTGGGCTACTGGGCTACAGAGGGCTGGAAGCAGGGCCAGGTTATGCCCATCAAAGCCGGACCCA